TCGGGGTCCGTCGTGCCATCATAGCGATCGAGGTGGAGAGGCTTCCAACCTTGAGGGAGTGGTGTCTCCATGATGCCATCCACAAAGGGATGACGACGGAAGGTTGCTTGACCCCCTGTGACATGAGTAGGGGCTTTGCTGACTTCATGGACCGACTTGTTCGTTGGAACATGAGACCGGTGCGCGGCAGGTCGTGGAGTCGGTGCCCTAGTCGCAGTTCGGGGCTGAGAGACCGAGTGCCCTTAGTCTTATCTTATTGTAAGATTAATTATATTCTATCATATTCTGACCGACAAACAAATCCTTAAAAATTAAATTATAAACCTATACTTTGTCGATCACCATCATGCATGGAAGATACAACGGATAAAAAATCTATTAAAAATTTAGTTAGAACTAGAAAAAAAAAAATGCTATTCAACGAAAAATCAAAAATAAAATAAAGGTTGATTTAGTTTAAAATGTGCTTTTTTATCAAACTATCTTGATAACTTTCAGCAGGTATCCGAATACTTTATCCTGGAAAGTATTCTATTTAGTATTTAAATGACCAATGACTTACATCACTTTTTTCGAATACATTACTTATGTATATGAGTCTTTATATATTTATATATTTATTTTTAGGTTGATATAAAAATCCAATAAATCACTATACATATTATAATTTAGTTATTACGTGATAAAATAAATAATTTATTTAGAATTATTATGTAACATTATATAAACAATCATATAAATTATATATGTATAAGATAGAAAATAAATTATTGAAAAAAAATAAATAAAAAAACTCTTAGAATTATATACATGTCTTATAGGGGGAGAAGGAAGTTTCCCACATCCTAAGGCTTGAGGTTCCTAACTTCATAGGATTGAATTAACCATCAATACATATGGTCAATTGTTGGAGAGTGGAAAACGAGTTAGACAAAAGAGAAAGGAAAAAGGATTTTTCCTAAGTTTTTTTTTTTTTTTCTCTAACTTTTTTCTAGAATTTTCCAAATTATAAACTTATGAGAATCACTTCTTTAGAAAACTTATACATTATTTCTGAAATTATCCTAATTTATCTTTGATTTAACTATTTTATAAAACAATTTAACCTTGAAAATCTCTTAATTTCAAGATTTTAAGACGATAATACTAATAATAATTAATGACAAAACAACATTAATTATGTAATTAAATTAAAAGATGTAAAACTCAGATTATTACGATTGAAACCAACTCATGATTTTTATGCTGCAATGGCTTACCGACAGAAACCAAACTTTATTAGTTTGCTTTTAAGCAATAAAATACATTACAAAGAATTGTTTAGCCGTTATCGCAAGAATAAGAAATCTTTTACACCTTCCTTTTATGCTCCACGTCTGTAGTTTGCGATTGTCATCATCTTATTAATTTTTTATTTTTTTTTTAACAAATAGTATGTTAAAGTTGACGATAAAAAATTAATATATTTTTGTTTAATAAGATTTAATCTATATAGATTATTAATATTTTTTTTTTATATAAACTTCTTATAAAAAATTATTTTATATCCATATCATATTTTTCGTTAATATATATGATTATATTATATGTTTGTGTAAAAAATTATACACTAACAATACATATAAATTAGAAGAAAAAAAAAATCTTCTTCTGAATGATGGATAATCAAAGTTACATCTAAAATAGTTTACTCTTTTCCATCATTTAATAAGAATTTACGATTATGTTATATTATCTCATTTTTTTTATTAATATGATTTTATTTCCTTTTTTTTAAGTTATATATATACAATGTAAATTAAACTCCATTATTTTTTTATTTGTTTGTTGTGGATAATCAAATTTATTTTACATTTGCATTTAGGCTTAGTTTAGAAGAGTTTATGTACAAATTTTTTTTTTATCTTATTTTTTAAGTGTTTATGAAATTGTTTGGATAAATTTTTAAAATATCTTATGAGTAATTTATAAGGTGTTTTAAATTTATTTTGATAAATTATTTAATATAACTTATTATTTAACTTATGTGGTCCAAAACCTAATAAAAAATATATTTAAATTTGAATATTGTCATTAATGTAAATAGTTTTTTCTTCATTTTTTCACTAAAAACTTGTTTCATAGTTTTTTTTTTCATTACTCATTCCAAATACTTTTGTTTTTTTCTCCAAAAGTTATTGCTCTTCTTTATTTTTTCTCTTCTTCTCCATTTCTTTTTCTATTTCTCGTCTCAAAATTCACATTCCCGTATTATAATAATTAATTTCACTTCATTTGCAATTTTACACATAAAACAATTTTAAGATGAAAAATGAGTAAAGGAGCATATAAATGGTTGCTAAATTATATTTTTATCATTTTATTTATTTTTAAGATTTAATTAAGTTTCATTATTTTTAAAAGGTTTAATTTAATATTTTAATTTTTAAAATATATTATATGTTATCTTTCTATCCAAATTGATATTAATGATATTGAAGAAATTGATTAGATGAAAGAATAATATTGAATATTTTTAAAAATAAAATTGAAGATGAAGTTGAACATTTTAAACATAGTGAAACTAAATTGGATATTTTTAAAAACATGTATAACAAAATTGAATAAAAATTTATGTAACATTTTTTGTTTAGATAAATTTAAATTTTCTTTTACTTATCTTGATAAGATCATGAATGACAAAAAATTTAGTACTTCAAATTTTTAAAAAAATTTAATAAAATAAATTATTAAATAAATAAATGAATTTAAATTTATCTATATAAAAAATAGGAGAAATTTATAATAAGTCTATTTAAAAATACTCCACTTAATAACTCATGTTTTACATCAAATTTTAATGATCTAACCGTTAAATTAAAAGTTATCAATTCATATATTAAGTTTGCAAAATCCTAAAAAAATTTAAAAATTACTTGATACTTCATTATATAAATTTAAATCAATGTATCAAATACTTTTATGATTATCCATCAATTTAAATAAATGAAATGAAGTATCAAATAATTTTTATTTTTATTTTTAAATTACAAATCTTGATCTATGCATTAAGAACTTTTAATTTAACGATTAAATCATTAAAATTTGATGTAAAATATGAGTTATTGAGTGAAGTAAATCCATATAAACTTACTCTTTGTGTAAGTAGATCTCTCATCATAAAAAATGTTAAATAATTTTTTATTCAATTTAACCTCTGTATTTACGAAATGTTCAATTTGGTCATCTAATTTGTAAATGATGTTTAATATTACTCTTCCATTCAATTTCATTAACATTGTTAATTTTAATTTAGATAAAATGATAACATTGAACATTTTTGTATGATTTTTTTATTATTTTTATTTTTATTTTCAAATGTCATATTACTAAATATACATCACTTAAACATGTATAAACATATAAACTTAACAAATAAATAGATGTCAATTTGATAGGAAGACCAAAATCTGGTATTTTGAAAATTATAGAGACTAAATATCTTGATTTTAAAATTTAAAAAATCAAAATTACTATTTGAAGAAATTTGAGAATTAAAAAGATAAATTTAACCTTCTTCATTTTGTTATTTTTTTTACGATGATCTCTTGCATATTTTTATCTTCGGTATTTTCTGACCTAATTGTTGACTTTATTGCAAGGGTTCGCCATCAACAAATAAAGTAATAATTTATTGATAAATTAATTTTCCCCCCTAGTTTTCATTGTTTCTTTATTTCATTGTTTTTTTTATTAGATATTCACCTTCTCTTTTTTTTTTTTGTTCTTTCAATCACATTGCATGCACCCATTATTTTACCTTTTTTATACTTATTTTTGTATTTTTTTTAGTAAAGATTAAACTCTGATAACAAATATGGAAATAAATTATGGGTAAATTATTTTTTTAAAACTTTTTTTTATTCTTAAAAAAGATGTTATACCAATTTCATTACTTCATAAGTGATTTTGTGTTTTTTTTCTCTCTTGATTTTTTCTTCATGGAGCGTTTTAATGTTTGTGGTTTATTTATTTATATTAATTTATTATGAATTTAATATTTTTAATTCAATAATTATTGACATACTTGTGCGACATTTTGACGAGACGTTATCATAATTGTTTCTTAATTATTATTTTTATGTTTTTTAATTATGATTTAAGTTATATAGTGATTATCAACTGTTTGATGTTTTCTGACGTGAATAATAATGTGATGGAAGATGAAGATGAACTTTTTATTTATATGTATGAGATAAAAGTAATATAATTAATAATCAAATTTAAAAAAATATTTCAATTTTTTTCTTATTATTTATAGAAAAAGAAATAATTGATTACATCCCTTAAAAAAAATAGTTGATTACATTGTTAAATGGAAGTGACGTTTTTGAAATAATTATTAAAGTCATTTTTTAATCATACGATGATGAATGATTAACTAACAACACAAAATTTTGACATGAAGAATATGTGAAGATGGAGTCCTTTATAGTTATAATTTTTAATTAGGTTAATGTGTAACCTTAATTTTTTTTATTGAACAATAATAGTTGTGCATAAGCTTTGACTCACATAAGTCTCAACAAATAGGGTGGGCCAGGACGCGGGGTTAGGAAAGTAAAGGAGGAGAGAAGAAATAATAGTTAAAGAAAGAAAGAAGATAGGTGCAATTAACATGAGTGATTTAATACTCGTATTACGCAAATGTGACTCGTGTGTGCCGAGAAAATTAAGGCAAATGATTATAAACTCTTAAATTGTGTGATTTTCGTATTCTCATGGTTTGATATTCCCACCCCACCTTACCATGCTTTATATAAGGCTCATACTTGTGGTTGTGGCTGCAGAACTTGGTATTGGTACTAACACTTGATGGTTCCCACTTCCTCAGATCATCCACACTAAGCACATTATATAAAAAAAGGGAATCAAGAGAGGCACCCACACTGAGAGAGAAGAGAACCTCTAAAAACAAAAGTGAAAACATTCTCTCCCATAGCTCTTCCTTCATTTCCTGTCCCTTTTTATTTTGTTGGTTTGTTCCTTCTGTTGCACGTTCTCCTTTGTTCTCTGCTTCCGCATTTTGTTCATGCGGTGTTGCAGAAGCAGAATAGTATTTGACACAAGTGTTGTGCTCTCCCATCTCAGGAGAACCACTCATTGGTAGACATAGCTTGTTAAAAGCACAAAAAGAAAAGTGTTTTGAGATCTGGCTGGCATGTTATCCTTTACTCACTAGCTTTCTTCGAGTAAGAGTGTCTGACATTCCAGCTCTGCTAGCTTCCTTTGTTTTGCGTGGCACAGAAGCAAAACAACAATCACCAAAAGAAAAATTATTCCACCCAAGTCACTCTTTTTAACCCTTTTCGATCCATCTCTCACAACTTGAGCCTGCTTCCCATTCCTCACTCTCTTTTGTTTTTCTGACACACAACTTCAAAACGTTCCAAATGGATCGCCTTTCTTCCACTACCATTCTCCCCGAAGCGTTTGAAGGGGCCAAAGATGACCTCACCATGCAGCTTGCATTGGTTTGGAACCAAATCAAAGCGCCACTCATTGTCCCGTTGCTGAGACTAGCAGTGTTTCTGTGCTTGATCATGTCGGTCATGATGTTCATTGAGAGGGTTTACATGGGCATTGTCATCACTCTGGTGAAGTTGTTTGGCAAAAAGCCAGAGAAACGTTACAAATGGGAGCCAATGAAGGATGACATTGAGCTGGGAAACTCTTCTTATCCAATGGTCCTCGTTCAAGTCCCTATGTACAATGAAAGAGAGGTGCTTATAAGCTTGTTGGCTATTGCTTAGTGCATAGCTTTTTCTCATCACTTTTAGTTAACACTTTTGAGCCTCGATCTTGAGTTTCCCTTGCTTCTCAATGCAGGTTTATCAGCTCTCAATTGGAGCTGCTTGTGGACTTTCTTGGCCTTCAGATAGGATCATCATACAAGTCCTTGATGACTCCACTGACCCAACAATCAAGGTAATTAATTAGCACCAAAAACACATCATAGTTACTTAGTTACCATTGTTTCATGTGAATAGTGTTATTATCCTCTGTAAGTACAAAGCCTGAAATGGACTTGTTCCATTCTGATACAAGTATTGAAGTGCTTCTGAAGGATTCTCTATTGAAAATAAAAAGTTTTTCATTCTTAAAAGCACTTATAGTTTGTATCCCAACAAGCTATAATGTGATATGAATTTGGAGGCATTGATTATGATTGGTTTGTGGTGACTCAACAAATGCAGGAGTTGGTGCAGCTTGAGTGCCAAAGATGGGCAAGCAAAGGGGTGAATATAAAGTATGAGGTTAGGGACAATAGGAATGGGTACAAAGCAGGGGCTCTCAAAGAAGGCATGAAGCGTAGCTACGTGAAACAGTGTGATTGCGTTGCTATCTTTGACGCTGATTTTCAACCAGAGCCTGATTTCTTGTGGCGCACCGTTCCATTCCTGGTGCACAATCCCGAGCTAGCCCTCATTCAAGCGCGGTGGAAATTTGGTAATCTATTTTTTTGTTTTTGTGTTGAGTCGTCTTAACTCTTAACATTCAACATCAACAATCACGACGACAACAACCTTTGCTTAATTTAGATTTTGGGGTTCTTGATGGCGGCTTTCGTTGGATTAATGTGGTGTCTTAGATTAGATACCAAGTCCTAACATCAGAACTCGTTTTAAAAACTGTCGGTGGTTCTCTTAGCTTTGAACTTGTTTTCAAGAACTAGTTTGGTTGGGGTGGGGTAGGTCCCACTTTGTGGTTGAACGACCGTGTATGTAAACATCACCTTCAAGTTCAACTTTCGTGGTTGCCTTTGATTTAAGCCACGTATTCTTTTCTTATCGTTATTTCACTTCTTTGTGTCTGCGGGACCTACTTTTTCTACTCCCTTCCAAAAACTATAATGCAGACTACAGAGAACAGGTGTTACTTCTCCTTTTCATTTTCCTTTTTCTTTTAGATGTATTTCCGTGGTTTGCTTTCATTTGTCCCGTGCTCTCGAAAAAAAGTGGGGATGGCAGATTAGTAAACCTCTTTACATTATTTTTTGGGGACAGTCTGTCATGAAAAGTCACCTATGAACTGTTAGATGATTAACCATGATATAATAATAATGGTTGTCACGTATGGTGTCCTATCTAATGAATTCATTTATAGCAGAATACGGTTTGGTTGTGTCATTGTGTGGCCGAAAAGTCAGATAAAAACACTGGACCACTGCTTAATTCAGAAACGGATAGTTAAATTTGAGGGTTATGGATGTGGTTATTTTGAAAACTGTTATATTAGTAAGTAAATAAGAAGGTCAATTTAGAATGCTTAAACAAACAAGGAAATTTCAGCCAGGAGCTCTTGTACAATCCCTGTTTCAAAAGTTGGTATTTGGCATATCTTTAACTATACTATTACTGTAATTCCATATATTTTACAACATGCTATGTATAATTTTCATGAAATAATAATGATTACAAAAAAAATGATGAAATCATAAGTTGCAAACCAAATCATACATTTGATTAAGCAAAAGTACATTTTTTTTTTCAAGAAAAATAAATAGCTATCCTTTTTTCTATGAAATCGTATTCCCGAGCATGTGATCTTATTATTGTAAAAGAAAAAAGAAACAAAATGAAGATGGTAATGTTTTAGAAAAATGTGTGTTCTATGGGTGACTTTCAAGAATGCTATAAATTCTAAAATGTTTAGCTCCACTGTCCTAAAAAGTAGTTCGGGGAATGAGAATTGAGAAGTACCAAATTTTTTCTGCAGTCACTATTTTGTTTTTTAGCTAGTAAATTGAATATTTGAGCGGGTCCAAATATTATTATTGCTGATTTCTGCTACCGCATAGGAGGGCAATACTTGAACCTGAAACCTGCATGTATGTAATGTGATGTATATTTCAAAGGGTATTTCTGTCTTGTGAGAAAACACCGTTGTTGATATTATTGTGGTTGTTGCTGTCATCATTGTTCTTATTGTGCTTCTTCATCTTCCTTTTTTCCCTTTACTTGTTTCTGCTGCCTCCGGCAGTTGCATGTGCAAATTTAATGGTGGACCTTATTTTGTAGTCACTATCTAACTCTACTAACCGACAACTGGATCTAGTTTTAACTCCTGCGAAATTACATAATGGCCTTCCTGTGTAAATTTCATGCCAGCTAAGTTGTTGACAAGGCAATTTATTTATTTATTTATTATTTATTTTGTGATTCCAGTGAATGCCGATGAATGTTTGATGACCAGAATGCAAGAGATGTCACTAGATTACCATTTTACTGTGGAACAAGAAGTGGGGTCTTCCACTTACGCCTTCTTTGGTTTCAACGGTAATATATATGACAAATATTTTTATCTTATGCTATAAAAAATGGAAATAGATTCTGTATGTTTTCTTTTTAAGGAAAAAAAAGGTTACAAGGCAGGGATTTTTGTGCAATAATGGAAACTATTGTTTTCTTGTGGCATAAAGATTTAGCCCATTTTTTGTACCATTGTAAATAACATTAGGAACTGCTGGAGTATGGAGAATTTCGGCTTTGAATGAAGCTGGTGGATGGAAGGATAGGACCACAGTGGAAGATATGGACCTGGCTGTGCGAGCCAGTCTCAAAGGATGGAAATTCTTATACTTGTCTGACTTGAAGGTTCGCTTTCTTCATACTTAACTATTTATTATTCGGATTTCATGATTTGAATTAAAGTATCTTGGAAGCTTACTTACTTTATAAAGATAATATCTTTAACTTAGTGGTTAGAATAGCTAAATCCTCATTATTAAATCCTTGTTAAAGATGTCTATCCCTTTATAAGTACCAAAACTTTTATTAATCAGTTCTAGTTAATTATACTTCTTGTCTCTGTGTGATATCTTTTTTTTTTTTTTTTTTTTTTTTGATATAAGCTATTCATTTGCTATAGGTTAAAAATGAATTGCCAAGTACATTCAAGGCATACCGCTACCAACAGCACCGTTGGTCATGCGGGCCAGCCAATCTCTTTAGGAAAATGGTCATGGAGATCATAAACAACAAGGTAAATTTGTTTTGTTTCCTTGAATCATAAGGAATATGCGGGAGCAGAACAAAATATGTTGACTACTTATGCTCCAAATTCATGTGTATATCCATTGCAGAAAGTGTCATTGTGGAAGAAGATACACGTGATTTACAGCTTCTTCTTTGTTCGGAAGGTGGTAGCACACATCAACACGTTTGTGTTTTATTGCATTGTATTACCTTCAACAGTTTTGGTGCCTGAGGTGGTGGTCCCAAAGTGGGGTGCTGTCTATATCCCTTCCATCATCACCTTTCTAAATGCAGTTGGAACTCCAAGGTCTTGATTTCTCAAGTTTTGCTCTTATCATCAAATCATGAACAAGTTTAAAGACAAGGAACTTGTTTTGCAAGTAAAGCTTTGTTGACTTTATTCATTGTGTGCTTTATGTTTCAGGTCACTTCATTTACTTGTCTTCTGGATTCTCTTTGAGAATGTCATGTCTCTGCATCGAACAAAGGCAACGATTATTGGTCTACTAGAGGCTAGTCGAGTGAACGAATGGGTTGTCACTGAAAAACTTGGTGATGCTCTCAAGGCTAAAGCAGGAGGAAAAGCACTTAAAAAGCCAAGATTCAGAATTGGAGACAGGTATGAATGAGTATTCTTGGCTCAGTTATTCGATAACATTCACTGATTTATAAATAGTAAATGTTATATGATATTGGGATGCTTACTTACATTTGTTGTTTTGGTGTTCAAATATTATTAGGATTCACTTGTTAGAACTTGGTGTGGCATTCTACCTCTTCTTTTGTGGCTGCTATGATGTTATGTTCGGGAAAAACCATTTCTTCATCTTCCTCTTTATCCAAGCATTTGCCTTCTTCATCATGGCATTTGGATATGTTGGCACCATTGTTCCCAACTCCTAGAAGGACTTGGTATTTCTTCATTCGGCTATTTCAGCTCTGTGCCTTCATATCAACGTGTATTATAGTGTTTTCAACATAGTTCTGGCAAGTTACAGCTTGTTAGTGTAAAAGAAAGGGTGGTCATTCTTTAAGGTCTTGCATAATCGGAGTTGGTGACTCTAAAGAGATAGTTTTCTTGTGAATATTCTGCTCAAAGATATATAAGGAAATTACGGAAGTTCTTCTCATGAAAGGGAAGTATACAGAACAAGAACGCATCAATCAAGAGGCATGGATCCTCAGGAGCAAACATCTTTGATTGGATGGATTGTTTATAAGATTTTGTAGCTTTTTTTAACTTTTATTTTGCTTTTCTTTACATTGTATTTGTTTGAAGTAATAAACAGCTTCAAGAAATGGGATAATACACGAAGTTCCATTTTGTATTTCTTCAATGTCAGACAAATTTGACAGGAATGACTATATGGGAGCAGAGATGAGCCTTTTGAAGTGCAAGTCACAGATTTCTTAATAGAAAAATGTTATACCAAAGAAAGTTAATAATTAAATTGGCTTGATTTATATGATGAAATAATTAATGCTAAAATCAATGGCTGCCAAAGGGATACTAGTTATATCTAACCTCCAACCTTGGTTGGTGTGTATCACAAGGATACAGAGCAAAAGGACACCAAATAATGAGACAAATTTTGTAGTAGAAGCATCTTGCAATTTCCTTTTATGTATTCCCTAAAGCCTAGTACAGACGAGAGTTCACTCTCGGAATATAATCAGAAACTAATTAAGAATGATGTCATTCTATCACAATTTATCAGTAATACTTTGGACTCCGAATCAACATTCCGAACCATTTAAATCTGTACAATATTTGAAATAAATTATTTTTTTAATTTTATTATTTTCAAATTTTAAACAATCAGAGAATTTTTCGGTTAAAACCTTTCGCATTATTTCTGCACAATTTATACATCTACAACCCCCTCCCTTTCTTTACACCTCCCTCTCTTTAACAAAAAAAAAAAAAAAACAGATGAAAATGACAAAGAGAATTTCTCTTTTTAAAAATAACAAAAATAAAGGCATTGTAATAAGTAAAATTATAAATAATAAATAAGGAAATGTAACCTTCAATTTTGCAAAAATATAATCTTAAATAAAAATTAAATAAAATAAATTTATATAAACTTATTTTTAAAATAAGTGAATCTTTTTCTTATATATATATATTTTGAATGCACACAAAGAAATGAAGCTTGATTCCCCTACTTTCATCCCCTGCCCCTTCCACATCTACCAACATATTCCCGTTTTTTATTCTTAGGGAGACTACGAATTGATGGAATCACCAATCAGGTGTGTTTCAAAACCCTCGCACTACGTTCCTCTTTTCTGTTCAATCTAGGGTTAAATTCTTTTTATCTGCTAACTGCTATTTATCTTTTAGTTCTCGTTTCATCTTCGAGGTATTTGTAGCAGAAACTGGCATGGCCACATATTCAAAAAATGTAAGTAGCTACTTTTTTTTTTGTTCTTGCTAAACAGGGTCAAAAGGAAAAACCAAGGACTTCTTTATCCTTAAAAAAGTTATTTTTGTTTCATTTCTTATTTTTGCAAATAATTTTAAAAAATGTCATATTAACTTTGTTTGTGTAATTTTTTTTCTTCCAAACAAAGTCTTTACTATATATGTGATCATAGATCAAACCATAACTAATTATGTTTAAGAAACCAAATTATTTGTCTATCATATGGCTTAAGAGGTAAAAGTTGTTTTTCCATATACAATACAAAAAGGCATTTCACTTCAAACAATAATAATATTATAAGATTTAACTTTACTTGAGAATAGAATAAAAAAAAATATATAATAATAATATTATAACATTTAAAACTTCAAGTTTTAAAAAATCTTTTGAGTTAATGCCTAACGTTGGATTTTTTATTTTCTTTTAAATCAGGTTTTTTTTGTCTAAATAAAATTTGACCAATAGCTAAAAATTGAACATTTAAAAAACCCAACTATCTATCAATTAGACTATATTGATTAAATCAGTTTAGTAATAATATAAAGATATCAGTTTAAATAAAACGTTAATTTAATTCTTAAAATATCAGTTTCTCATTTAAATAGTTATTATATAAATAATTTCTAATACGTAGCCTTCAAAAAGAAATCATACAATGTAGTCTCTCAAAAATTGAAAAAATCTTCATGGACTAAATAGTATATTCTATTAGTTTAAATTTAGGCACTGAAAGATGCAAAGCGGGTAGGTAGAGAAAAGAATTGGGCCGAAAGCAGGGCCCATCAAGTGAAGATGGAAGCTAGTTACCCAACAAGGATTCCAGCAATGCGAATCAGAGAGAAGGGGTTTTTGCGCGCCATACAATGGGATTCAGAACTCGTTCTTCTCTTCGTCTTCGTCTTCGTCTTCGTCCCAATTCCCACTTCAACAATTTCGTTTCCTTCTTCTGCTCCGAACCACTCACACTCTCTGAACCTCACCCCCAACACCAGCACCGCCTCAAAAAGGTTCAAAAACTCGAAAACTTACTAAGCCTTGGCCTCACCATCACCGCAAGAAGGTTCCTCAGATCCCTTCTCCTTTCCAAAACCGTATTCTCCTCTCTCTCCGAACTCCACGCACACGTCTCCAAGCCCCTCTTTTCGGACACCCTCTTATGGCTCTGCTCCGTTCCCAAAATGCTCGACGAAGCTACCGAATTGTACTCTTCCATGCGAAAAGACGGTTTTCTCCCTTCCACGCGCTCCGTCAACCGTTTGCTCCGAACCCTAGTCGCTTCGCGACAGTTCGAGAAAACCCTAGCTCTCTTCGCCGACTTTGTCGATTCCGGTGTTCGACCCGACGCTGTTGCTTATGGGAAGGCTCTTCAGGCCGCGGTGATGCTGAGGGACCTCGATAAGGGTTTTGAGTTGATGAGTTCCATGGAGAAGGAAGGAGTGGCTCCTAATGTGTTCGCTTATAACTTGATTTTGGGAGGGTTGTGTAAAACGAGAAGGGTCAAGGAAGCTCGGAAGTTGTTCGATGAAATGAATCAGAGAAACCTGGTTCCTAATACGGTTACTTATAACACGCTCATTGATGGGTACTGTAGGGTGGGTGATATAGAGGAGGCTTTTGGCTTTAAGAAGAGGATGAAGGAACATAATGTGGGGTGTAATGTTATCACTTATAATTGCTTGTTAAACGGTCTTTGTGGCTTGGGGAGGGTGGAGGATGCGAGGGAGGTGTTGTTAGAGATGGAGGGTAGTGGCTTTTTGCCTGGTGGGTTTTTGAGTGTTGTGTTTGATGATGATCATTCGATGGATAATGGAAAGGAAATACGGATTGATGAACAAACTTATTGTATTTTGTTGAATGGATTGTGCAGGGTTGGAAGGGTTGAAAAGGCCAAGGAAGTTCTGGCTAAACTAGTTGATAATGGAGTTGCTCCAAGCAAGGTTTCGTATAACATATTGGTGAATGCATATTGCCAAGAGGGTGACGTGAAGAAAGCTATACTCACAACTGAGCAAATGGAGGAACGAGGGTTGGAGCCGAATCGTGTTACTTTTAATACCCTGATTAGCAAGTTCTGTGAAAATGGGGAGGTGGATCAGGCAGAGACATGGATTGAGAGGATGAGAGAGAAGGGTGTTTCCCCCACTGTGGAGACCTATAATTCATTGATTAATGGTTATGGTCAGAGGGGCCATTTTGTCAGGTGTTTCGAGATTTTTGAGGAAATGGAGAAGGCAGGGATAAAGCCTAATGTCATCAGCTATGGTTCTCTGATAAATTGTCTCTGCAAAGATCGTAAGCTTCTTGATGCAGAGATTGTGCTTGCGGATATGATAGGTCGTGGGGTTTCTCCGAATGCACAAGTATATAATATGCTCATTGAAGCTAGTTGCTCATTGAGTAAATTGAAAGATGCTTTCAGATTTTTTGATGAAATGATACAAAGTGGAATAGACGCAACACTTGTCACGTACAACACATTAATCTATGGACTTGGAAGAAGTGGAAGGGTAAAGGAAGCTGAGGCTTTGTTTCTCCAAATGACAGGCAAGGGATGTAATCCGGATGTTATAACATACAATTCTCTGATCTCAGGATATGCCAAGGCAGTAAACACCCATAAATGCTTTGAATTGTATGATAATATGAAGATGCTAGGCATAAAACCTACTGTTGGAACTTTTCATCCGTTGATCTATGCGTGCAGGAAGGAAGGTGTAGTGACAATGGAGAGAATGCTTCAAGAAATGTTACAAATGGATTTGGTTCCGGATCGGTTTATATATAATGAAATGATTTACTGTTATGCTGAAGATGGAAATGTTCAGAAGGCAATGTCTATGCACCAACAGATGGTTGATCAGGGAGTTGAATCTGACAAGGTGACTTACAATTGTTTGATTCTGGCATATCTGAGAGATAGAAGGATTTCAGAAATAAAGCATGTTGTTGATGATATGAATGCTAAAGGACTGGTTCCAAAAGTTGATACATATAACATTCTGGTTAAGGGACATTGTGACTTAAAAGATATCAATGGCGCATATTGTTGGTATAGGGAAATGGTTGATAGGGGCTTGCTTTTAAATGACCGCATGTGCTACCAGCTAGTAGCCGGACTAAGAGAGAAGGGAATGCTGCGAGAGGCCCAAATTGTATCCTCTGAATTGAGTAGTAGAGGACTGAATAACTAGTAGATTGACAAGGTTCAATGCTTGCGCCATTGTTCAATGCTTGCGCCATTGTTCAATGCTTGCGCCATTGTTCAATGCTTGCGCCATTGTTCAATGCTTGCGCCATTGTTCAATGCTTGCGCCATTGTTCAATGCTTGCGCCATTGTTCAATGCTTGCGCCATTGTTCAATGCTTATGATTTGAAAGGGACAGGTGCTTAATATCAGCGCATATACTTATGCTCTACCAAAGGAAGAGGAAGTTAAATACGAGCTCAAAACGGTAATATTCGCAATTCTAATTGTTTATTCTCATTTCTCCATGGATTTTAGTTATTGATATTTGATAATTGAACGCTTGGAAAGGTGTGCGTGAAACTTATTAGAACTTGTGAAAATTAATTAATTTCAATAATTTTTTTTTGTGAAATCTAGCGAAATAAGTCTTTTTTTATAATTTATTTAGATACCTTTCATATTAATTTTTTTTTACATATTAATCTATTGTGGGATAACAGTTTATTGAATAATGAATAATACTTCATTTACATGTTTACAAACACTCTCTAAAGACACATAAATTGTTGTCTTTTTATACGAGTTAGATTTATGCACCCTCTTATTAGTTGGGGATATTACTTTTTTATTTTAATAAAGAAAACTCCTATTCAAAAAGTAATTATACAAACACACACCAGAGGCTTGATTTTGTTTTTTTCTTTTTAAAAAAGAAATAGCGTTTGTTAATTACATGCCCAAAATTTTTTTCAAGTGTTTAGTAAAACATTTCATTGGTGATATGAAGATTAAAGGGATGGATCCAAAAGCTTATATGCATAATGCATGGACCGATGGATCCAAAAGCTTATATGCATGGACATGCATGCCAAGGTACATTTTAACTTCAAGATTTCAATGAAGCGTATTTTTTAGTGCAGGAACATGTTTGACGGTGGCTTTCATAAATATCAACTACAAAGAAATATCGTTGGTCTCCATCACTGGGTTAAGGATCCTGCATCTCCTAGCTGGATGTCACCGCTGATGATTGTTTGAGAGGCTGGAAATCTACCAGTCTTTGCCAAAAAGGAACAAATGCTCATAAATTTTCTGCGCACACACCAACGCATGGTGTCGCAATCTTCCCCGAATATTTCAAGCACCAAACAAAAATGCCAGAAAGGTTTCGGCATCAAAAAATAATCCAGACTTGTGTTTCACATATTCTACTTTTGCGTAGTGAAATGGCGTTTGATTTTGTTGCGCTGAATGTGATTACTATAATAACTTCTAAAGGGTAACATTCGAACTGCACAACAAATTTTGTATGAAGTTGGTAGACGTGACGGATTCGTTCAGAAAGATTGTCAAGAGTTCAAATTTGAGTTTGCTTGTTGCTGGAGGTTGGGTTGTCTTGTAAACATTATTAGTAGCAGAGTACACGGGATGTTGCACGGGTTGATTTGTGGGTAAATAATCAGTTATTTATGTCAAACATGTGTATCCGACAATCAAAATAACGGGCAATCATATAAATCTGATTCTATAATTCTTTGGGAAACAATAGATCTATTTTTGGTTATCTTTTACGCATTAGAACATGGGTTCTGTTTTTACATTAATACTCTCTATACCATTAAAAAAAATTATGTTTATGATTTTTCACACTTTAAATATTTAATACCAGTATATTATGTCTAAATATCTTTATTTAATATTTTTACCAATCGAGTAGGAATAACAATTGTTAAATAACATCGAAGGCTTAATGATCCAAAAGAAGTGTTTTTTTTTTTAGTACATTAGACTAGCACTTCTTGAAATTCTATGAAATTGTGATAATTCTCTTCACTTTTTTAATGTTTAAAAAAATTTCCTTTACATGAAGATACTAACATTTTAATTAAGTAATTAAGGAAGATTATTGTAATGTATAAAGAGTGCTAATATAATATTTTTAAACAAAAAAAGGTAGAGATTACTGCATAGGTAAAAAGAAATAGGTGTTTACACAATTTCATGAAATCTTAGGGAGTATACTGTGTTTTTTTCCTCCATTCATGTACATAGTTTCATAGAAAGAGTAAGTGGTTGTTTTAGTAATGAATTCGAAAGGTTACATTATTTGAAAATTTTAAAACATATGCGACTAAAATAGTAATATTTATATAGAGAGAGATCAAAATTAAAATAAGTAATAAAGTTCAAAGACTTATTTGCAATTCTAGAAATATATAGTCATTTTCTTAGTTTTTAATGTCCACTTTCCGGGACAAAATGTTCACCACTTCCAAATAAATATATATATTCCTTTAACTTGGTGACATATACATAATTATGAAACGTTAAATTGATAATTAAACATGTTGACTATTTACAAATACACAATTCAGAAGGTTTGTGAAGCGATTTACTTTAACCACAAAACTCCAGTATGATTTGCTTACCACACTGTATCTAGCTTGGATTTGAAAGAAACGTCTTTAATATAAGCAATCATTTGATTAGCCAGTTTTCCACATCCTGATTTGAACAGAAAAAGTGAAGCATATGTCCTAGTCTTACAACAGGTAGTAATACGATCTCCACCTTTCTAAATTCAAAAGGTCAGGACACATGACACATGACACAAGACACATGACACAAGACACAAGGCAAAGCTTAACAATCATGATCAACTTCATTGTATAGTAGTTATTAGTTACTGAATAAAACCATTTTGAAGAAACCAAGTCTCAAGGACATTGTTATATTATTATTATTGGCACAGGCACAAACACGAATTGAGTCGAAGGGATCCACATCACTGAGAAAAGCCTAAACCGATTAAAAAAAAGTGTTGAGAAAGAGGAAGAAGAATTACAAGGATTGAACTCAAAGGACATCGATGATATCCTGAGCGCCACTGAAGGTGAAAGCGCCACCTTCCTCCAAATTGAAGAGCTTGACGACGCCATCTTCAGCCAATAGCGCGTAGCGCCTAGACCTAACCCCCAAGCCCACTGGCTTGTCGCTGAGATCGAGTTCGCACCCAATGGCCTTGGTGAACGTTCCGTTACCATCGGACAAGAGCAAAACCTCGTCCTTTACCTTGAGATCCTCCTTCCACGCCCTCATCACGAAGGCGTCGTTCACCGAAATGCAGGCGATGGTGTCCACCCCCTTCGCCCTCAGCTCCGCCGACTTCTCCACGAACCCCGGCACGTGCTTCTGCGAGCACGTGGGGGTGAAGGCGCCGGGGACCGCGAAGAGGACCGCTTTCTTCCCCTTTGTGAGGTCGGACACGGTGGTGGTCTGGACCTCTCCTTCGGCGTCCAGGTAGGAGAAGGTGGCCTCCGGGAGCTTGTCGCCGACGGAGAGGGCGGCGGAGATGGTGGATGTGGATGAGAGGCGGAGGGGCCTCGGGGCGCGGAGGGAGAGGCGGGAAGGGAGGGTTTTGGGGGCGAAGAGGGAGGCGGTGGTGGAGAAGATGAGCCTGGAGAATGTGAGAGATGATGCGGCCATGGTGGATTGGAGTTTGGAGATTGTGGATGGGTAGGTATTAGGTAAGGAAGGAAGGGTAAGGTTGGTTGTTGGGTTGTGTTGGACTAAGGAGAGCTCTTGCGTCAGCCCAAAACTATATTCCCTACCCGCCTCCTTCTTTTTGTGCCCTCACTTTCTCACTTTTACTATACATCGTCAATTCCTCACTCACTCCTTTTTTTTCTTTTTTTTCTTTAACAACTTTATCGATTAGATTATAGGATTTTGCGTTTAACATAACATTTATTTTAAGTTGTAGTCTTCTCTTCTTCTAATTCTCTTACATATAGTATTATATTTGATTTTTTTTAAAATACTAACTGTATATTTTTATGCGATCAAATTATAATGATCATACTTAATATGAAAATAGAGTAAGAATATATTATTATTGGAATTCTTTTAAAGGTCATACAAGGTGATAATATCACAATTTTTTTTAGTTACCCTAATGTAATTGGATGATAATAGTATTAATTGACCGAAAACTAAAATTTTGTTTTCATTATTGAGTATATTATTACTATATATATATATATACTTGTTATATGGTTTAGTTAGTTGATATACTTTATTTGTTAGTATGGGAAAAAAATTTCATATCCAAAAATTACGATTCCTAGTAATTAGTTACTTTTAAATGTTCCTAGGAATATTCATACAAAATGATTGAGAGTTAAAAAAATTTATGTTTAATTACAATAGTGTATTATTGGAAATATAAATATTTTTTTACAAAAATATTTTTTATTAAAATAAACTCATTAGGTTTTTTTTAGTCAAATTATGACATTAAACTATTTTTAAAAGTTAAAAATTTATTAAAATTATTTAAATACAAAATTCAACAAGAAAAATAAGAAAGAAAAATGTTATATTATAATTAAAAATATATTATTCCATTATATTTAAATAAAAAATTTAAAAAAAATATGTTAACAAAGACAATTAAAATGTATAAACAAAAATATATTTTAATAGTATTATTGAAGTTGACAAAGTCGAAAAATAATACAAGAAAGATACATATATATATATATATATAGAGAGAGAGAGAGATAGAGATGAGAGGAAGAAACCAAAGGATGGAGAAAGGAGTGGAGGGGGTTAAGATTAGAGGCGAAACGAAAAGGAGAAAGAGAAATAAAACGAAATGAAAAGAAAGAGAAACACAAATAGAGAGGAAAAAAGGAAAAGAGATGGGAAGTGAGAACGAGAGAAAGAGAGAGTGACAAAGAAAGAGAAATAGGAGAGAAAGAAAAAGAAAAAGATATATTTTATATTTTAGAAAATGATACTATGAAATTTTTATATAAAAAAAATATTAACTCGAAAAAAGTATATTTTCACCCTATAAAAATATTTTTATTAAAAAGTATGATAAAAATAATTATCAATAAATTGTATTTTTTGAAATTTTTTTCTTTTTAAATAGTCACTAAATATGAGAAAACCAAATTTTTTAATTTAAGATTATCATAAAAGTAAAAATATTTTGCTTACTAAGCGTTTCCTAAATATATTTAATAAATTGATTATGTTCATTTTAAATTAAACATCCACATAGGTTTTACATTCCTTCATTTATCGTTTCCTATTAGTTGTTTCATTTGTGTGGATTTTAGTTTGAACTTCTAATCTTTTTTTAATTACCAAAAGAAAAAGGACCGAAACAATCTAGAAATAAAAGATAAGTGAAAAAATGAATAATTTAATTGATAAATGTCTAAAATAAATTTTAAAAATTAAGATAAAGGATTAAAAATATAATTTAGTATAATATTCAATACACTCAATTATTCAAATTATAGAAAAAAATATAACACAATGAATTTATTGTTTTCTTTTAATTTTTGTGTTAAATATATATTAACTGTTATTTTATTATGTACAATACATGTAAAAACAAGTATTTATTCCATATAATTAAAATATATAATAAATATTTTTAAATATACAAATTATATTATAATTTAAATCTGTAATAAATAAGTATTTTTTAACATGCAAATTTTAAAAAACTTTAAATATATATTTAAAGAAATATAAAAAAATGATCAATGCTGGAATTTATTTAGCAAGTCACTTTGGAAATTTATTGTTGGGTTTGGACATGTGGCTTAGTGAAAATAGAAGTAACTATTAAAATTATTCAATAACACTTAATAACACTCTTACCGTGTAAATAAATAAATAAAACTCTCTGTTAAAAAATGACTCTTATAAATACTCTAAATTTTGATTTATAATTTAAAAATTGGTAACTTACCAACCTATCTTAAATTATAATTTATATATTAGGATTTATCTATTTTATTTTTTAAATAATTAATGTGAAAGGAAATAAACTAATCATATACACAGTGGTCTATAATTAATAATTAAATCACATAACAACATCATAATTTTTTAATTTATAACACATAATAAAGGAGATTGTCTTATTATTTATTTTTTTTGTTCGTTACTGGAGTA